AAGAAATGCATACTGAATTCATGTGCAAATCCACAGATGTGTAAAAGATAGCTCAGGCCCTCAGGGAATTTGGCAAACTCTTGATTTCTTTATTATGTTGCACTAAGAACTATCTGTGTTAGAATTCTTTTAAGTTAAGCTTTCTGGGATGTCCACATTTTCATGCCCTAGAGATTTGCTACAGAATTATTCTCAGCAGAGCAATTATAGGTGAGGCTGCCCTATAATGAGATATCTTTGCTACTTCATTAAATAAATCCCCTTGGATGGGCTCCAAAATGGACCTGCCTCATACCAAATTCCATTACACTGGAAGTAATCTCATAAGAAGGCCCTCTGCAGGTTCGATCTTCCCAGATACCTAATGTTTACCATAAAGGGAATATGTTCTAGAACAGTGATTCTCACAAGCTGGTTCTCAATCCAATGCTTTACTGATCCAAGGGGAAATTTAAAAAATAAAGACAATTTAGTCGACTTTTTATAAAATTAAAAATAAATCTATTTTTTAAATATCCTTCATTCTGAGACTATGCCCTTTCTATTTTCTTCCTTTTCCATTGGTCTTAAACAACTACATATTTTTATGAAATACCGATGATAATAGATGGTAATTTTGTACTGTTCTTGTGTGACACAAATACAATGTCAATCCTCCTCAACTTAAAAAAAAATTATGGGCCCTTGAACTCCAAAATTTCTAAACCATCGTTATAGAAAAAACTGCTTAAAAGGAAATTCTTTCCTATGAAATTAGTGAGGGGCATTTTATATTAGGGACCGAACTGCAAAGTTTTAATTGGAGGGTGACTGTTCCATGTTGGCGTATTACAGAGTGCCATGCTCCTCAAACTGCGAAGTGCACATCCTGATTCTGCAGGTCTGGCACAGTCCGAAAGTCTGCAATTCCAACGAACTCACAATTAGAGTAGGAAAAGCATAACGGTTAACTTGGTGAACTCTGAATCACATTTCCCTGGTTCAGCTCCGGGCTCGACCACCTCTATCTGTTGACCCTTGAGCAAGTTAGTTAACCTGTCTATGCCATAGTTTTCTCATTAATAACACAAGAATAATAATAATGCCACTTCATAAGCTTGTTATGAGAATAAAATGGAATTATAAATGTAAATATTCCAAGAATGTGAAATACAGTATCTGACCCATAGAAGAACTCCGTAAATGTGAATTATTACTCTAACTTCACAGATCAGTGGCCGGAGTGCCAAGACATTATAAAAAGATTAGCACCTCAAGGGATTCCTACGTGATGAATCTGAAGAATTCAGAGTTCTATTTGTAAGGGATACGCTGTGTTCTAACTTCTTTGGCCTGCTCAGTGGGATCGTTTGAAGCTGTGAAGTTTGAAAGGTGTGTATAGATCTATTCTAATTCAAAGTTGTATGCCTCTTCATTACTAAGATCTTATGAGTAAGGTTGAAATGATAGTATTGTTTAAGTTGCATGCCATGAACTTAGAACTTTTTATAATTTCTTTGAGTGTTTTCCAATAAGTGAAAAGAAAAATCTGTTTAGTATGTTCTCAGACCTTCAAGTTTTCCCACAGGTCTTTACTTTATTAATAATTATTCTTCCTATGAAAGTGCAGCTAGAATGTTTATTAATTTTTTCTTACTTTTTATTGACAGCCAAACAATTTGTTCAAAGTACTGTGTATTGCCTAATATGCAGATACAACTAACTACACGAGGCCATTGTCATATATTTCCTTATAGAGAGCCCAGACTATTTTTATAGTGGGTTAATGAATACTTGTCCTCTAAAAAGTACAGGGAATAGCATCTAGGCATGAAAAATGTGATTTAATATAAATTTGTGTTTTTATCTTCAGCTTATATCCTTTTCTCTACTTGTGTGACTTGTGATGTGAATATAAACACAAGAGCAAATGACGACTGATTTTAATAAAACTTAACAAAGATCGATGAGTTGGTAAGAGCTCAAGACTAATTTTACCTACATAACTGGTTCAACTTTATATGGTAAAAAGAAAGCATAGCAAAATAAGTTTTACCAAGCACATTTAATAAATGCCTCTTGTGTTCTGAAATCCTAAAAGATTAAAGTTGACTGCTCTTTGGAAGCTACACCATTGTCTTCTCAATCATTGCATACCATTGTACCTTAATCATTGTAAAATATTATTGTAAATTTACCTATCTAGTTAGTGACTAGATATTATGAAAATAAAATGAGTTAATATTTTGTCAAGAGCACAGGAAAACTAACATATAAACCTTATATTCCTAATGGGATTATTCAACACATTGGAAGTTATCATGTAAATTAATAAATATTCACAAATCTTCAGAGCCTTTCCTCAGTTTTCACTTTTCTGTTTCTTTTTTTTTGTGGTTTTACCTTTACCTTTTACAGCTGACTTTGTACCGCCCATCTGGAAAACGTTTTATATGCCTCTAAATGCCTCCCAAGTGAAAAGCACTCTAAGGGGAAGTTGCTAGTTATCTTTCAATACTGCTCTACACTTCCTCCTCAGTAATAGGACCAGTGAATGTTAGGACCATCTGCAACAAAGACCATATTTTTCAGCCTCTTTTGTAGGTTCGTGCGATCATGTGATTAAATTTGGGTCAGTGGAGAAAACAAATGAAAATAGTATGTGCAGTTTTTGTGAAGTATGCTTATAAGGACACACTGTGTCTCTATCCTTTCTTTTCCCCCCTTCTGGCTGGTGAAAATGTGAATGTAGTGACACCAACAGAAGCTGCCATTTTGGATCATGAGGTCAAACCTACATCTTGCAGAACAAAATAGAATCTGGCACCTTGATGATCCTACCATCAGAAGGTAGCACTTCTCTACCTGCATTTATGTGAAAGAAAAATAAACTTCTCTCTTGCTTTAGTCACTGTTATTTTGCAGCCAAACCTAATCCTAACTTATACACACTCAAACAATGCATCTATTTTTCAGGTATGATTCTTATCATCATGTCTTAATCTTTATCATCCATCTTATCTTACTCAAAGACATGCTAGGACCTAAGGAAAAGGGAGAGAGATGTGTTAAGTAATACCTGAGAACACTCAGTATTAAAGAAGTTAAATTTCAGAGAAGTTAAATTATAGAGAAGAAAGAGTTAAAGAAATTACAAATCTTTTCTGCTCCCAGTAGCTTTGGTTTATTAAGAGACCTTCTAGGTAAGATTTCGAAGTTAACTCCCAAGATAATAAGACAAAAGCTAGGCCAGATGTCTAAGCTAAGTTTTGGTCTCAAAATAATTACCTTTGTTAATTACCAGTAATTAGTGTCAGCATCCAACACTTTCCTAAAAACTTGAGGTAGGGTGGGTGAGAGAGAGAGAACACACGCATTTTCCAGTACAATTACGCCTTGGGGTCATTAAAACTTGATTTAAGTTTTATAATTTTGAACATTGGGTTTTATGGAAAAACTGTATATTTTCTTCTAGTTAATGTAGATATCTTTTCCTTCTACCTAGGCTTAATTTGAAGTTTATATCTTTTCTTATTTTATGCCTCTCTTTTTTCATTGCCAAAATGATTATTTTTCTTTATTTGTAAAATTACACTTTTAACCCTGCCCCCCTTACCCCCAAAAATCTTCAGCTGAAATGGCCCTAGCAGAAGTGCCCAGGCTTCTTCCTGGAGTCTTTCAGCCAGAGGCTTCTGGTCTTTAGTTAAAAAAACATAAAACAGCAGAGAGTTCTCAGTGGTTTGTAGATAAGTTGATATTTTTGGCACTTTTTACATAGTTCAGAAGTTTACATAGTGCGTCACTCTTCCCTTCTTTGTGTAGTGACCCTTTATGAAGACAGAAATATTTATAAATGCATCTATTTGTGCTCTGCCTAATTATTTCATGTCCCTTTGGGCCTCCCTTTTTGTGCTTAGAGTTTCTTTTTCAATATTTAGAGGTGCTATTGTCTGGTACTGTCCGTTAATAATTAATTGTAGATGTAGTCATTTTAACCTACAAGTAACAGTGGAAATAATACTTTACTCCCTAAATCTCCATCGCAAACATCTCACATTTGACTCCTGCCATGCTCCTGGTTCTACAGTGGATCAATCACTTTTCCTTTGTGACATCTCTATTTAACTGTTTACTGGTCTGCTTCCCCCACCAAACTGCTAGAGGGAAGGAACCATGTCTTTACTCATATTTTTTTATATCTCCAGTGGCCACCAGACATATATAGCATACATTGACTTTTTTTGTAATTAATGAAATATGAAGTTACCCACATTGCCAGGCCAATGGGACTTCTACTTACATACTTCGATCCTTTCATAGGTTCAGTGAGTCAGTAGATGAAGCAATTTTTCCTACTACCTATTTTGTGTTTTAGTGGTAATTCTCAAATTTATTTTAGTCCATGGTCTGTTTCTTTATATCAAGATATTGACCAACTTACTTGCTCGTAGAGAGAAAAATGATTATTCACACAGATCAGCAGACTGAGAAGGAAAGCAAAGGTTGATGATAAAATAAAAAGGTGTTATTTTGTTTTTAATATATATCATGTATATATTATCAACCCATGCTAAAAATTAAAGATGGTTATATTTAATCATGAAGACTACATATCAAAAATGCACAATTTGTATACTCATTAACTGCCTATTTCTAGAGAATCTGTATTTCTAGCCACCACCACTGTACTAAAACTTTATGGGTTTTGTAGGTATACATCTACATTACAAAACCAATAGCACGTTTATATGTTATCACTCACTTTAAGGTTTGTTAATAGAGAAAAAGCATGTTGTATGCTTTTGGAGTGCTTTCTATATGTTGGGTGCACACAGGCATTTTAATTTGCAGGCATATATTATTTGCTTTGTGTAAATTGGGTACCACATTATCCTCATATCATTCAGTGTTTTCACCCTATGATCACTATTCATTACCATATGATCAGAGCTGCTCAATTTAATTACAACTTTTCATTTCAGTTTCCCTTCACCATATCTATATATTTTTTAATCCCATACCTCCAGTGCTGTTCTGAACTGTCCTGCCGCCACAGCATATTTCTTTTGTCTGTAGCAAGAGCTGGCATCCTTTAAGGCTACTTGAAGCCATTTGTCAATCTGAGGCAGAAAGCTGAAATTAGGTACATGCAAAGGGTCTACTATTTCAGCTGCTCGGCACGTTGGCCGAATTCCAGGGGATATGAAGGGCTCCACAAACTCATAGCTCACATCCTCTTCATCAATGTAGACCAACTTCACCTCCACATCCATGATGTTCTTTAAGGGGATGTGAGGCAAAGGCAGGTTGAGCAAAGGGCTGTCAATTTCCATGATCTTTGCTTCCTTCTTTCCAGCTGGCTTTTCTTCGCCTTCTGCCTTCCTTTTAAAGGCCAATTTCTCTAAATCGTTACTTTGTTTTTCTTTGATGCTCTTTGCCATTTTTAGTCTTTCAACTGGGTTTTCTACCTGTTTGTCTCCACAGCTTTTCTTAATCTCCTGTGGCATTTCCAAGATGCTGGATGGGTTTGCTAAGGTGGACATTTTCTTGCTTGTGTTTATCTTTGGAACAAGCTGATCAGGATAGACCCTATTTACTGTGTTCTCCACACTCCTACTACTTCCTGAATCCATTGATTCCCCCATGAAACTCCTATAAGGGTGAGAAGAAGGAAAATAATTAAAACTATAGTTTAAAGTTTCAGTGATTTAAGACTATAGTCAAATTCACTTCAAGCACTGTTTTGTTCATTATAGATATTTATCATGATAAAGTAAAACTGTATGTGCATCATCTGCTGCTCTTTCAATAAGGAAGTATATGTTTCATTCTCAACACTCATCAAGAATTTGTTGAAAACACATTTAGACAATATCTTAAAAATAATCATCTATAGTTGAACAACGTTGAATGAACATTTTTATGGGGAGCCCAGACTCATTGAATAGGAAAACCTTATAGTCACTGAGGACAAAAAAAGACAAAAAAAAATCCATTTTGATATTAATTTCCTGAAAGAGGCAGGTGGTCTAGAACTCATTATAAAATATACTGCTAACCTGTATAATAGACTTGGGAGTCTAAAGAAACCACAGCTGCTTCCTCTGAAAATCTTCCAAAATGTTGTGAGCACAATGTTTCCTTGATTTGTTTCTTCTATTAGTAATAAAAAAATCTCAAGTTTAAACTACTTTAAGATAACTATTATTTAGAACTGACTTGAAAGCAGAACAACATAACCTTCAACCTCTCATTAATGCGGAGCCAAATATTAATCTTGGGTCTATTGTATGAATATTTTTGTAGCAATGATAGCAATATAGTATATTATATGAAAACAAAGCATTTTCTTAAATCACTAATGTTCAAAAAATATAATGAGCAGTCTTTTGATGCAAAGGTTATCTGCTTCTAGATAAGTTTCAAAATATAAAATGTCCTAAGACCTAATAATTATGTAATATGGTTGGTTCCTACTTTTTTAAAAGGCTTTTGCACATCATATTCTGTCCTGGAATTAACTCTGTAGAGTAAATAAGAATAAAGACCACATTTTTCAAAGAAACTAAGGGAGAGAGAGGTTAAGTTGCTTATCCAGGTCATGATGTTGGTCACCAGCAGAACCTGGACTTCTATTTCCACCCTGAGACCTCCACTCTAAAACCTCCTAGCCTGGGGTACTTCTTTCCTTTATAGAATGTTGTTCTTTAGGATAGCTAATTGCAGACTTACATCAGAATGCAAAGAGAAGAGAAAATGCAAAAAAGAAGGGCTGAATATGATAATAAGATAAGAATTGGAAAAGATCTAATATTCTTGCTTCTTGTCATCTACACAAGGACATTATCTGACACCAGATAGTCTAGAGTAGCTTCTCAAGACTTATGATATTGTTAATGTTGTTGATTATTTTCATATTTGTATGCTGGAAAGACAGAGGTTTGCCTAAAGAAAACATTTGAAACACCCTGAATTTTGACCCAATAATTCTTTTTTTCTTTCTTTTTATTTTTCAGTTACAGTTGACATTCAATATTATATTAGTTTTAGGTGTACAGCATAGTGATTAGACATTTATGTAATTTATGAAGTGATCCCCCTGGATAAGTCTAGTATCCATTTGGCTCCACACATAGTTCTTTAAATATTATTGACTATATTCCCTATGTTGTAATTTACATCCCTGTGACTATTTTGTAACTGCCAATTTGCATTTCCTAATCTCTTCACCTTTTTCACATAGCCCTATAACCCCTCTCCCATCTGGCAACCTTTATTTTGTTCTCTGTGTCTATGAGTCTGTTTCTGTTTTGTTTATTCTTTTTTTTTTTTTTACATTCTCTATATAAGTGAGATCATATGGTATTAGTCTTTCTCTGCAAGGGAAACAAAAGAAAAAAATAAACAAATGGGACTACATCAAACTAAAAAGTTTTTGCACAGCAAAGGAAACAATCAACAAAATGAAATGACAACCTATTGAATGGGAGAAGATATTTGCCAATGGTATATCCAATAAGGGGTTAATATCCAAAATTTATAAAGAACTCATACAACTTAACACCAAAAAACCCACAAACAATCCAATTAAAATATAGGCAGAGGTGCGAATAGACATTTCTCCAAAGAGGACATACAATGGCCAACAGACATATGAAAAGATGCTCAGAGGAAATGCAAATTAAAACCACAAAAAGATATTGCCTCATACCTGTCAGGATGGCCATCTTCAATAAACCCAACGAACAACAGGTGTTGGCAAAGATGTGGAGAAAAGAGAACCCTTATGCACTGTAGGTGGAATTGCAAAATGGTGCAGCCGCTGTAGAAAACAGTATGGACATTCCTCAAAAAATTAAAAATGGAACTACTTTAGACCCAGCAATTCCACTTCTGGGCATTTATCTGAAGAAATCCAAAACACTAATTCAAAAAAATATATATTCATCCCTATCTTCATTGCAGTATTATTTACAAGATATGGAAACAACCTAAAGGTCCACCAATAGATGACTGGATAAAAAGGATGTGGTATGTATATATGATGGAATATTATCTGGCCATAAAAATGAAATCATAACATTTGCAACAGCATGGATGGACCCAAAGGGTATTATACTAAGTGACATACGTCAGAACAATGATTCTTAAAGACAGAAAAGTAAGAAAGAAAACTGTACATATGGCTCTAGCCTTTGAGCCACTTTCCTGATTCATATCATTAGGAAAGGTTTAGGTCAAATGTGGACATACCAAAAAATCTACTATAATGATCTATATTATCTTATGAGAAAGTGTGAATTCCAATAATTCTAACAACAACTATCTTGGATGTTAATCTGCAAAAGTTTAATACTAGAATAATATTTTCCCAGGGATTTATACTGACATATTAGAGCTGTGTTTCTATGGGGGGACAATACCTAAAATAATAAAATTTTAGGCAGTCTGTGTTATGCTTGATCATGAAGGAGATCACCATGGCTGAGAATCATAGGTTCCATCCACACAATTTTACTTTGAGTAAGGCCCTGTTTTCTTTCCTCTCTTGGAACCATTGCTGGCATCCAACATATCTTTTGGACCATTAATATGGCTAGTCCGAGTGATGTGGAGAAAGCTGTCTTGGCCATCACTCAATCTTATGTTTGTTCTTGTGGCACATGCGATTTAAGTTGAGTTAGCTTCAATCTGTGAATTAAGACCTCTTTTGGATGGACACTCAGGAATTACATCTATATCAACGTTTTTCAGTAGCAGAGATACAGAAATGAAAGTAGCACAACTCCAACACATCATGCATGCACTGTATGGTTTCTTAAGTAAAATTTTGAGTAAAATTTATAGAACATCGTGTGCTAAGTTCCAAATAAAGCTTGATTCTGATGAATACTATAGAAATTACATATATGCTCCCCTCTTGGTTCAATGCTATGTGTGAAGCAAAAGAAATGTGAAGCTCTTGAAACTTTTTTAAAGCTCAAAATATCTGATTTTAAGGATCGCTGACTCATATTCATTCTTATAATAGACTGTAAAAATATAAACAGGAAATGCTGATGGGTGAGCTATTCCAAATTTTTCATGGTATCACCCAGGTAACCTTTCTAAATTCTCTACTTCAAGCATCAGTGGCTAAAATATGTCAGAATGTCTGTAGTTGGTTGTAGTTAGTAACATTTTTAGCATCTACAGCAGCATGACCTATCTCTTCTGCATTTATTTTACATTTCTTGAACACATATAAATGTATGAGCTTATCTTTATAACTACTGCTTTTGGAAGGTAATTCTCTCTCTCTCTCTCTCTCTCTCTCTCATCTCTCTCTCTCTCTCTCTCTCCCTCCCTCTCCACCACCCCTCTCCCTCCCCACCTCCTTCTTGTCTTCTGCTTACTTTTCCTTCACACTCTCCCACACCAGTCTTCCCCCCAGCTGTCCCCCATCCCTACCTGCATTATTTTTTCTTTGCAAGAAAGAAGGTTTTATTGTTTTTATGAAACAGGTGTCTGAGTATTTCTGCATTGGCCCTTAAACTTCTCTATAGAAATAATAATTTGGTCTTCAGTGCAGTTTTGTGCAAGAAATAATAATGGGAAGGGGGAGAGAAGTGTACATATAGTTCATTGAGCATTTAGAGGGAATGAATTTGTAAGTAGTTTTTTACTTCAAACATCTGAAATATCAATTATTCCAAATTTATCCAAGAAAAAATAATGTAGGTCCCCTCAATAAATCCAGAACAAATATTCTGTCTATAAGTGGCCTAAATGTTCAGGCTGAAAAACCATGGCCAAACCCAACTACTATTTTTCAATGTTGGTTACAAATCAAGTGATTTCAGCTTCAGATTTAGAGCCTGTTCTTTATAAAAATTGTTGAATGTCTACAGAAGAGTTATGGAACTGCTTACTTATAGCTTTTTAAAAAAATTATAAAACTTCATTTAAATAATCTGGAATTCAAGGCCTTTCACCACCTAGTCCAATGTGTATTTCCAGACTTATTTAGCACTCTTTCTGTAAACAACTCTGAAGTCCATTTGAAATTCTTGTTACTTCCAAAAGATATCCGTTTTCAGTCTGCCTACTAACAATTCTCCATCTTCCTATTCCCACCTCATTCTACCTGTCCAAACTTAGCCAGAAGTTATCCATCTCTCCCTCCTCAGAATACCAATGGCATTTATAGCACTTATTTTGTACACTGCAGTTATGTGCGAATGACTTATTTCTTCCAACAAACTCCCTAAAGCAGAAATACGCTTTACTTATCTTTACATTAGTTTAGTGGTTTGCATAGAGTAGGCATTCAATAAATGTTGATCAGTATGGATGCTGTGGATCAAAGGCTAATTTATACATTTTAAGAAAAACAAAATTGATTTTTCTAAAGGTATGGCCTATAAATTTGTAAAAGTTGTTTCTCAGGTGTTTTGCTAGATTTTTTTATTTGTTTTAAATTTGATCCTGGATAAAGTACATTTTCTTCTTTGATAATTCAAATGAATCATGTATCAACTAGATTTAAACTGTCAACCTCTTCATTTTTTTAATAGTCAAGTTGATTAACATGACATTAGTCAGTGTTCCTGAGGCTCTGAGTTACATTTTAATCATTACTTCAATATAAATACTTTTAGAGAAAACTATTA